TCGGGGCCGACTAATTACGAAGATTCTACACCTGAGTGAGCGAGTGACACATTTGCATATCGCAGTCCCAACAAAAACCCGTTTCTACGCTTCGCGTATCCACGTGTTAAAAATGTACTGGAATTCATGCGATTTTCTATACTTACTACATTTATGGTTAAAATGTTAGTACATTTATGGTTTATAATTTATTACATTTATGGTTCGGGTTTTCATTACATTTATGATAGATATTACATTTATGGTTAACTTTTATTACATTTATGGTTAGTGTTGCTGTTATTTAGCAATTGTTGAATATAATGAGGCTGAGTAGGGTGTGAAGAATAGTGCAGACGGGCCGAGGTGGATAACATCATCCTCCACGATCTGAATAATTCTTTTCATATTACGAAAGCCGAATTCAATAATTGTTTTATTAGTCATTCAAAATATTTCTAATTTGTTATAAACAAGCTTACCTTCGCGAAGACTTTCTTCAAAACTTTGGCCTATTTCTCGGCATGGTTTCACGATATAACATATGTTTTCCCTTGAAGATACTCCTCAAAAGTAAACAACATCCGATCCCTCCAGGGATACGTTTGCGTATTCTTGCATTTCTTAACATAACTCAGGAATAAAGAGCTAGGCTGCCGCATCTGGAAAGGAGTTTGATCGATTTTATATTATACACTTAATGTCAGATCCCGAAGTTCCAGTTCGTCCCGGGAAACATCAGGGCTCGAGGGAAAACAAAACTAACAGGTTTCCCGAGGGACCTGACATTAAGTGTTTTGTTATATTTCTAGACTTTCACTTCAACAAGAACAAAAGAATAACCGGAGCAAATCAAAACAATCGACTCGGTTCTTATAAGAACACAAATTTAATTCTCAAAACCACTGAATGAATGATTTACAAAGTACTTTCCTTATATTATCTGCATCTCAGTTCTCTTCTGGGATGACTTTGAAAATCGTTGCTTTTTAGCTTGAGGCTTCTAATTCATGTTTGTGTTGTTGACTGTTCACTGTTCATTCACGAAAAAGAAAACTGGCAGCGTTTTTCCCTCCTTCTGTCACGCCACTTTCCACCATGCTTTGATCACGTGCTGTAATCAATCCCGAGCCGGGTACGATCCGGCTCAAATATATCACGATCGGGATACATTTGATTTTATTCAAGGCCATGTGACCAAGAATCAACCAGTGGCAGTCCCTTTTTAGTTGAGTGAAAGTCTAGGAATATAAATTGATGGTGTGTTGCATGCGTCTTCCAAATATGGTGAGCGCCAGTGGGTTATTTAACAATTATTCCTCGAGCCCGAATGAGCTATTGACTCAGAGGCCATGAGGGCGAGAGGAATAATTGTTTTAGTAAAATCCAACGAGTTGGTAAAAAATATCGTGACAAAACAACTTAAAGCAAGACTTTAATCCTTTTTTGCCGCCAAAAATCCGGTGCTTTTCGCTACCAGTGGGCTATAACATATAGTCTAGTAGTATCTCAACCAATCAGAACACAGTATTGATAATATTTTACTAAGAGAAATTAGCCTGGGGATTGGAGCCAATATTTTGAATGAGTAATAAATAGAGGATATTACATGGCCGCGCGGAGATACGAAATTTATCCTCGAGTGTTGAAAAAATATTTCACGAGTGAGGGCAGCGAACGAGTGAAAAATTCTTCAACACAAGAAAAGAAATTTCGTATCTCCAAGCGGCCATGTAATGTTCTATTTATTTTATAAACACCAATGAAGTACCAAACCATTTCGCCTTAATATTTTTTAAGTCCTGGAGAAGACGAATGTGTCAGAACTAATGTAAAATGGGGTTGACAGGCCTACACGACTCCCCAGCGCGTGTTTAATATAGCCTTTTTATAGTTTGGCTCTCACGAGTATGTCTTTGAGCGACCGCCCTCTTTTATAAGATACGAGGGGCGGTTTTTTATAGATTTCGCTCAGTAATGGTTGTTGTTCTATCAAATGCCAGTTTTTCATGAGAATTTGCTTTAGGTTTAGCACTGATGGTTGGTATTGTGTGACAAAAGGCAAGATTCGTTGGTTTGTCTTTGGTTTCTGTTGAAGGGCTAGTTTCCTGTCTTTGAAGTTCACCTCTGAGAGGGTTGTTTTAATAAGATCCTCTGGGTAACCCCTCTGTAGCAGATGCGCTTTGAAATTTGTAATTTTCTCGTCGAATATTAGTTTGGAAGAGTTTGTTCTGAGGAGTCGGAGGGCTTCCCCTTTAATGAAGCCTTTTTTAACTCCTTGCGGGGGACAGGAAGCAAAATGGGTATACTGAAATGTCTCAGTTGGTTTGAAATGAGTACGCACATCAAGGATTGCGTCTCTTTCGAATCTTTCCCCTTTGTAGACGTAGGTGTCCAGGAATGTTATTTCCTTATCGGAAATTTCAGCCGTAAATTTGATCGTAGGGTGATGATTGTTTGCTTGTTCAATGAAATGTTCTATTCTGTCTCTGTTTGTAGTCCAGAGCGAGAAGATGTCGTCTATGTAACGTTTCCAAACGAGCGGTTTAAAAAGGCTTTGGCTAAGGATTTCCGTCTCTACCTTGTTCATGAATATATTAGAAAAGGCGACTGCCATTTTCGTGCCCAAGGCCGTACCATGTGTTTGAAGGTAGTTACTGGAAAGAATTTTCTTGGAGAATTAGCCTGAGCGCTCGTTTTAGTAGTTGTGTAGGGATAGGAGGTTCGTTTCTATAGAATATTTCGTATGCTCTGCATACCGTGTCTATTCCCTCCTCTTGCGGTATATTTGTTTACAAGCTCGTAACGTCCATTGAAACAAGTATGACGTCCGCTGGGACTTTCGTATTTTCTATGAAATTGACGAAGTCGGTAGTATCTTTAAGATACGACTTTTGTTGTTGTGCTATCGGCTGAAGGAGTTTGTCGACAAATGATGATAATTTCTCCGTTGGGCCATCACACCCTGATACTATTGGTCTGCCGACCGGGGACGGCTTGTGTATGTTAGTGAGGGTGTAAAATTCTGGAATTCGAGGCAGATTTGGTGTTTGACAAAGCCATTTTTTAGTCATGTCGTCTATGTGATCCCCGTTGTAGAGTTCTGTAATAAGTTGTTTAACTCTAAGGTTTGTCTCAGTGACCATGGGTGATGCAAGAGGCCTGTAGTTGTCTTTGTTGTCTAGTAGAGTTTGGCCTTCTTTAATTTTGTTTTGTGTGTTCATGACTACGGTTGTTGTTCCTTTATCGGCCTTTTTAAGGTTAATTTCAGTGTCACGTTTTAGGGCTCTGAAAGTCTCACGTTCGGCCGGAGGCAGATTATTTTTTGGCTTTGTTATTTCTATTTCTGCAAGGTCGCTCTTAACCTCTTCTAGGTAACTTTCAAGGGCTACTGATCGTTGTATTGGTGGTTCCCATGCAGATTTGACATGGTAAGGATGGGGTTCGTTGTTTTCCCCTCGAAATATGTACATTAGACGCATTCTTCTTGCAAACTGATCAAAGTTACGCAAGAGTTGTTTCCTGATTTGTGTTTGTTTTGTAACAGGTGTTGGAATGAATTTAAGCCCTTTTGCCAGTAAATTAATCTGGTCATTTGTAAGTTCTTTGTTTGAGAGGTTTTTTATGTGTTTTTTGTTCGCCTCTATTGTGATAGTTGAACGTTTCTGGCGTCTGACCTTTCTGCGCTCTTTGCGCTTATTAGTTGCTAGCCGTTTGGCTTTTAAAATTTGTTTTTTGGCCCCATGTTTGTGGTGGGAGTCAGAGAATACACGTGCGTACTTTTGAACTTCTTTATTTTCAATTGCTCCTAGTTTTTCCATCATATTGCCGAACTGGGCGATTTGTGCCTGGAGGTTAACAGCAATGTGTTTTACTGTTTCGATCGTTACATTGTTATCAGCTTGCGCTGCGCGCGCTGGTTCGATCGTACTACAGTTCTTAGTGTTCAGTGCTATAGCCGGTGCGGCTCGCTTTCCTTTCTTGGATTCGGCCTTAAAACGGCCGATTTCTCGTTGATGGAATCGTATAATCGCATTGAGTGTTTCTTGCTCCGCGTTCTTACGGATTTGTTTTATCTCTCTCTCTTGAAGTCCTCGTCCTCTGTTATTCTGGCCCTCGCCCTATATTGTAGGGTTTCTGGGCAAGTTCCCCTGTCCGTGTGTCTTTTTAAAGCTTTGATCGCACCTTCAGCTTGGCTAATCTTGTCCTCCGCGGGGAGAGCCAAACTATAAAAAGGCTATTTTAAACACGCGCTGGGGAGTCGTGTAGGCCTGTCAACCCCATTTTACACAAATAGAGGATATTACATGGCCGCGCGGAGATACGAAATTTATCCTCGAGTGTTGAAAAAATATTTCACGAGTGAGGGCAGCGAACGAGTGAAAAATTCTTCAACACAAGAAAAGAAATTTCGTATCTCCAAGCGGCCATGTAATGTTCTATTTATTTTATAAACACCAATGAAGTACCAAACCATTTCGCCTTAATATTTTTTAAGTCCTAGAGAAGACGAATGTGTCAGAACTAAAAATGGAACAAAGTAGAAAGCCTTTAAATACAAATTCCTCTTCTTTACAATTTAACAAAGAGCTATCCTAAAATATATATGGCTCATAGAATTTTACATTTTCTACATTTCTTAAAATAGCCTTTGCAATACTATATGAACTTATGGTCATGCAAATAACGCTCGTTGTTGTTGTAAAAGCTTGTGGCTGAAATAGTTTTATTTTCCTGAATTTTTAACAGTACGGTGTATGGTGGTAAACAAAAGGTTACAACCTACTCTGTAAAACTATTTATTTAGATATTCTGCATTTGTAGATTCAAGAAGTATAGAATAGGCCAAAGAAATGATAGTCCAACACTTATAATCCTGACCTACCCCAGTAAATCCTACATGAAAGCTTGATTATCTTGCCTAAAAAGTTTAACTGTTCAGTTAGAAAGACGTTAACAATCTTGTTTCCACTTTCTTACTTTTAAAATATATTTTTTCTCAAGGTTAAGAAAAAAGCGTCATGGACAACATCTTAGAGATTCTACAGACCATTCATATTGGTGTAGCTGTTGCAACTTTCCTTTTCAACACTGGACGTATTATAAAAGCAGTAGACATCTTTAACGAATCTTTGGTGCTCCTTAACGGTAAAGCCCTAGAGACAATCAAAGAACTTACCACACCACTTCTTATCTATGTATACCGTAAACTTCTCGATGGCTATACTCGTGTGTACGATCACATCCGTGCGATAGAATGTGGTAAAAAGCTTCTAGTGACACTACACAATAGTGGCCAAAAAGAAGTAGAAGGGATAACATTACTTAAACTAGCAAACATCTACTATCAAAGAAGCAAATACGAGGAAGCAAAACAGTTTTACGAGAAGGCACTCAGCATCATGATTGAGGCTGGAAATAATGACGGAGTTGGAACATGTTACGGGAATCTAGAAACTGTGTTTTTCTCTGTTGGTCAATATACAAAGGCTGAAGAATACCTTCAAACAGCACTAGTGATCAGGAAAGAAATCGGTGACAAAGAAGGAGAAGCAGCAGATTACGGAAATCTAGGAACTGTGTTTCTTTCTGTTGGTCAATATACCAAGGCTGAAGAATACCTTCAAAAAGCGCTAGTGATCATGAAAGAAATCGGTGACAAACAAGGAGAAGCATCTGCTTACGGAAATCTAGGAAGTGTGTTTAAATCTGTTGGTCAATATACCAATGCTGAAGAATGCCTTCAAAAAGCACTAGTGATCAGGAAAGAAATCGGAGACAAAAAAGGAGAAGCATCTGCTTACGGAAATCTAGGAACTGTGTTTCTTTCTGTTGGTCAATATACCAAGGCTGAAGAATACCTTCAAAAAGCACTAGTGATCATGAAAGAAATCGCTGACAAACAAGGAGAAGCATCTGCTTACGGAAATCTAGGAACTGTGTTTCTATCTGTTGGTCAATATACCAAGGCTGAAGAATACCTTCAAAAAGCACTAGTGATCAGGAAAGAAATCGGTGACAAACAAGGAGAAGCAGCAGATTACGGAAATCTAGGAACTGTGTTTCTTTCTGTTGGTCAATATATCAAGGCTGAAGAATACCTTCAAAAAGCACTAGTGATCAGGAAAGAAATCGGTGACAAACAAGGAGAAGCAGCAGATTACGGAAATCTAGGAATTGTCATTAAATCTGTTGGTCAACATACCAAGGCTGAAGAATACCTTCAAAAAGCACTAGTGATCATGAAAGAAATCGGTGACAAAAAAGGAGAAGCATCTGCTTACGGAAATCTAGGAACTGTGTTTCAATCTGTTGGTCAATATACCAAGGCTGAAGAATACCTTCAAAAAGCACTAGTGATCAGGAAAGAAATCGGTGACAAAGAAGGAGAAGCATCAGATTACGGAAATCTAGGAACTGTGTTTCAATCTGTTGGTCAATATACCAAGGCTGAAGAATACCTTCAAAAAGCACTAGTGATCAGGAAAGAAATCGGTGACAAACAAGGAGAAGCATCTGCTTACGGAAATCTAGGAACTGTGTTTCAATCTGTTGGTCAATATACCAAGGCTGAAGAATACCTTCAAAAAGCACTAGTGATCAGGAAAGAAATCGGTGACAAACAAGGAGAAGCAGCAGATTACGGAAATCTAGGAACTGTGTTTCTTTCTGTTGGTCAATATATCAAGGCTGAAGAATACCTTCAAAAAGCACTAGTGATCAGGAAAGAAATCGGTGACAAACAAGGAGAAGCAGCAGATTACGGAAATCTAGGAATTGTCATTAAATCTGTTGGTCAACATACCAAGGCTGAAGAATACCTTCAAAAAGCACTAGTGATCATGAAAGAAATCGGTGACAAAAAAGGAGAAGCATCTGCTTACGGAAATCTAGGAACTGTGTTTCAATCTGTTGGTCAATATACCAAGGCTGAAGAATACCTTCAAAAAGCACTAGTGATCAGGAAAGAAATCGGTGACAAAGAAGGAGAAGCAGCAGATTACGGAAATCTAGGAACTGTGTTTCAATCTGTTGGTCAATATACCAAGGCTGAAGAATACCTTCAAAAAGCACTAGTGATCATGAAAGAAATCGGTGACAAACAAGGAGAAGCATCTGCTTACGGAAATCTAAGAACTGTGTTTCAATCTGTTGGTCAATATACCAAGGCTGAAGAACACCTTCAAAAAGCACTAGTGATCAGGAAAGAAATCGGTGACAAACAAGGAGAAGCAGCAGATTACGGAAATCTAGGAACTGTGTTTCAATCTGTTGGTCAATATACCAAGGCTGAAGAATACCTTCAAAAAGCACTAGTGATCATGAAAGAAATCGGTGACAAACAAGGAGAAGCATCTGCTTACGGAAATCTAGGAAGTGTGTTTAAATCTGTTGGTCAATATACCAAGGCTGAAGAATGCCTTCAAAAAGCACTAGTGATCAGGAAAGAAATCGGTGACAAAAAAGGAGAAGAATCTGCTTACGGAAATCTAGGAACTGTGTTTAAATCTGTTGGTCAATATACCAAGGCTGAAGAATACCTTCAAAAAGCACTAGTGATCAGGAAAGAAATCGGTGACAAACAAGGAGAAGCAGCAGATTACGGAAATCTAGGAACTGTGTTTCTTTCTGTTGGTCAATATATCAAGGCTGAAGAATACCTGCAAAAAGCACTAGTGATCATGAAAGAAATCGGTGACAAACAAGGAGAAGCAGCAGATTACGGAAATCTAGGAACTGTCTTTAAATCTGTTGGTCAACATACCAAGGCTGAAGAATACCTTCAAAAAGCACTAGTGATCATGAAAGAAATCGGTGACAAAAAAGGAGAAGCATCTGCTTACGGAAATCTAGGAACTGTGTTTCAATCTGTTGGTCAATATACCAAGGCTGAAGAACACCTTCAAAAAGCACTAGTGATCAGGAAAGAAATCGGTGACAAAGAAGGAGAAGCAGCAGATTACGGAAATCTAGGAAGGGTGTTTCAATCTGTTGGTCAATATACCAAGGCTGAAGAATACCTTCAAAAAGCACTAGTGATCAGGAAAGAAATCGGTGACAAACAAGGAGAAGCAGCAGATTACGGAAATCTAGGAACTGTGTTTCTTTCTGTTGGTCAATATACCAAGGCTGAAGAATACCTGCAAAAAGCACTAGTGATCAGGAAAGAAATCGGTGACAAACAAGGAGAAGCATCTGCTTACGGAAATCTAGGAACTGTCTTTAAATCCGTTGGTCAATATACCAATGCTGAAGAATGCCTTCAAAAAGCACTAGTGATCAGGAAAGAAATCGGTGACAAACAAGGAGAAGCAGCAGATTACGGAAATCTAGGAACTGTCTTTAAATCTGTTGGTCAACATACCAAGGCTGAAGAATACCTTCAAAAAGCACTAGTGATCATGAAAGAAATCGGTGACAAAAAAGGAGAAGCATCTGCTTACGGAAATCTAGGAACTGTGTTTCAATCTGTTGGTCAATATACCAAGGCTGAAGAATACCTTCAAAAAGCACTAGTGATCAGGAAAGAAATCGGTGACAAACAAGGAGAAGCATCTGCTTACGGAAATCTAGGAACTGTGTTTCAATCTGTTGGTCAATATACCAAGGCCGAAGAATACCTTCAGAAAGCACTAGTGATCAAACAAGAAAGCGGAGACAAAGCTGGTGTTGGAGCTTTATACGTAAATCTGGGAAAACTTTGTCGAGAATTGCAACTTACTGCAAAGAGTCGAGAATTTGCTAATAAAGCACTTTTGATAAGTTACGAAATAGGGGACATAGAAATGCAGTTTAACAGCCACCTTACCATTGCTATGAACGAGATAGTGGCAGGAGGAAGCATAACCGAAGTTCTGCGAAATCTGCATGAAAGCATTCAGAAGTGCGAAGAAATGCATCATTTTTTAAGAGTGAAAGATCCATTCAAAATTTCTTTTTTTGATGAGCATGTGTCCCCTTACCTTTTTCTTTGTAGGTTTTTAATTGCTACAGGCAGTTATTATGAAGCTCTTTACGTTGCCGAGCTTGGACGATGTAGAGCACTGACAGACGTACTTTCAGATAAGTACTCTGTGGGAAAAGGGGTATCAGTCAACCCACAGTCATGGATTGGTATTGAGAACATTATGAACAAAAATGCACTTAGTTCTTGTCTTTATGTTTCCTGCTTCAAAAATAATATGCACTTTTGGGTCCTCAAGCCAAACAAAACTTTAGTTTTTCGACAAACGAGACTCAAAGAAAGTGCAGATAAAGTGTTTGAAAATCAGACATTTGGTGGCTCTCGTGATTTACGTCAAGACCAATGCGAAGATCGATCATTATTTTCATGTGTAAGTTCCCCGCTATCATGCAAACAATCTCAGAGTGACAGCTTCGAATCTTTGCGTCTTATCGAAGAAGAGGAAGACGAAAATCACGACTCTAAACCTTTAACCCTTGCTGATGGTTACAACATGATAGTCGCTCCTGTAGCTGACTTACTCCAAGAATCAGAAATCATTCTTATACCGGATAACTTGTTGTATCCTATTCCTTTTGCTGCTTTAAAGGATGGTAATGGAAAGTATTTATCGGACACTTTCAGGATTCGCATTGTCCCTTCCTTGACGACTCTTAAGTTGATTCAGCTCTGTCCAGCAGACTACCATAGTAAAACCGGTGCACTGATCGTAGGGCAGCCAGACGTTAGTGAGTGTATACTACCAAGGAAAAATTCTAAAGTTAAAGCCACTACCTTGGGCGAGAGACGAAGCAGAGATGATTGGGCGACTGCTCGGTGTTCAACCGTTGCTTGGAAAGGATGCAACTAAGCAGGCGGTCCTGGAAAGCATGCATTCAGTAAGTCTTATTCACTTCGCTGCTCATGGTTATGCCTAACGTGGAGAAATAGCTCTTTCCCCAATAAGCTCCTGCGGCACTCCACACGAAGAAGACTACTTATTAACGATGGCTGAAATTTCACAAGTTCGACTAACAGCCAAGCTGGTTGTCCTTAGCTGCTGTCATAGTGCAAGTGGTCAGATTAGAGCTGAGGGAATTGTTGGAATCGCTCGAGCATTTCTAGCATCGGGTGCACGCGCCGTGTTGGCGGCGCTGTGGGCTGTAGAGGACGAAGCTACCATGTGGTTTATGGATCGTTTTTACGAGCACCTTGTTCATGGTGAAAGTGCCAGTGAATCTCTTCATCAGGCCATGAAGTCGATGAGAGAGACTCGCTTTTCTGACGTCAAGCAGTGGGCACCCTTTATGCTGATTGGAGATAATGTGACATTCAAAGGTTTGTATTTGATATCGTTTTTAGGTTTTTTAGTTATCTCAGTCAAAATTTGTGAAATTGATGTTCGTGACACTACGCATCATTTTGAAAAATATTATTAAGGGAGTTATACTGAGTTTTCTTAGTTTTTTTTTTTATTTATCGTCCTTTCCAACCCTGGTTATGGAAGTGAGGCATCTGGAGAGAAGGCCCAATTCAATTGTTTTCCGATTTTTATGGAATATTTCGTAAAGCATGCTCGAATCTATAACTAACTAAAATGAAAATGTAGAAAACGATAGTTGAGATTTCAAAGAGCATACGAAATGAATGTTATTAATATACCGTAAAATTCCGAAAATAAGCCCTGGGGCTGATATTTTTCGAAGGACCTTTTTGAGGGGCTTATTTTTGAAGGGGCTTATATTCGCAGGGGCTTATCTACGGAGGGAAATTTGCGTTTCAAAATCGATTGGGCTAGCTTTATAGTTGGAAGTGAATTTACCGTGTTTGCTTTTTTTTTACTTCTGTATTTGAGGGTAATCAGTTTCCCAAGTACAAAGCAAAGGGGGGCTTATATTTAGAAGGGCGTATACATACCTGTTTTGGGGGCTTATTTTTGGAGGGGCTTATACATGGAGGGGCTTATTTTCGGAATTTTACGGTATCACAGAGAAGAGAAGTAAGCGTTAAACACACTTTTTCTTGAGGGTGTACCTGATGAAAGAAAAAATGTAGCCTGTTCCAGGCTCCGCGACTGAGTCGCTCCGCACCCCTTTCACCGGTTCATCCCTACTATCTGAGAGCTTGGAACAGGCTGAAAAAGACGCTGCTAGTATTTTTAGTCTTAAAAAGATTCATCCTCAGGGAACCAGAGACAGCGCAGAGGGTGTACGTACTAATTACCGGTGAGTGAGAGTTTAAAAGCAGACGGGAAGATTCCCTGGGCACTTGATCTAGCCCAAGCAGCTGCAAGAGCATATGATTTTGCAACTTCTATTTTATACAGGTATTTTTCTGGCAAATGAGCTAAGGGCAACTCCCTTGTCGATTTCGTGTGTTCTTAAAAGGAGATTTTTTGTCATCAATCGCCTCTTTTATGATGCTTGTTTGGCGGAGAAGTCGAAAGATTTAATACGCCCCCAAGAAAGTATTTCATTCGATTCGATTGGGTTTTGCTTTAGTTCTCTTCGTAGTCGCGATTTTGTACCAGAGGAGATGGCTGATATTCTGGGCAACCATTGCACAGGCTGCTCGGGCGGCAAGGGATAGCATGGTTGGCTTGATATGAATCTCCTGCTTCAAGCTATAATCTGATCAGTATACGAACAGCAAACGAATCGAAAGAATTTAAAATAAAGTGAAATATTCTCACTGCATACATAATTGGCCGGTGACGCGGGAATTAAGTAACTCTTTTAAATTCCGTGGTGTTGGGCCTGCACGCTCGTGGCATGATGCATTGCGGCCCTTGGTTAGAATTGCTTAGTTTTTGCCCACCTGTTGGCTAGTTCAACGGGGTTTAGTGGAAGTGACTTAGAAGTTTTGCCCCTTCCACCTTCCCTGGTGGCGGTTGACGTCGCTTACTCTCATTATTCGGCTTGCCTATTCTCCTAGCAGTCGCGGTTGCCTCCCACAACTTAGTTCTCCGTGTTGGAACAGTAGGTATGCGGTGCGAATATTATACGAATCGCATTTAAGCTGAAAGTAATACAATATGACTTTAATGAATTTTTAGCATATAAATGATTCCTTAAAATGTAAAGGTTTTGTTATTTGTTTGACTTCGAAAAAATCTGTGCCAGATATTTAGGTAAAACATTTAGCGCAACGAGCAACAGAAACATGTTGATCGATGGCTAAAATAAATCGTGCAAAGAATACATACGAAAGGGAACCGTCATGATTAGTTTTTTTAATTTGCATCGCAGGTGCATTTGATAAGAGTAGTTTGGAAGATGGCGAAGGTGCGACGGAAACAAAGAACTTGTAAACTGAGAGGAAACATGTTCAAGTTGACAACTACTGTCACAGCTGTAATTAAGTAACTCTTTTAAATTCCGTGGTGTTAGGCCTGCGCGCTCGAAACACGATGCATTGCGGCCCTTGGTTAGAATTGCTTAGTTTTTGCCCACCTATTTCAACGGGGTTCAGTGGAAGTGACATAGCAGTTTCGCCCCTCCTACCTCCCTTGGAGGCGGTTGACGTCGCTTACTCTCATTATTCGACATGCCTATTGTCCTGGCAGTCGCGGTTGCCTCCCACAACTTAGTTCTCCGTGTCGGAACAATAGGTATGCGGTGCGAATATTATACGAATCACATTTAAGCTGAAAGTGATACAATATGACTTTAATGAATTTTTAGCATATAAATGATTCCTCAAAATGTAAAGGTTTTGTTATTTGTTTGACTTTGAAAAAATCTGTGCCAGATATTTAGGTAAACATTTAGCGCAACGAGCAACAGAAGCATGTTGATCGATGGTTAAAATAAATCATGCAAAGAATACACACGAAAGGGAACCTTCATGATTAGTTTTTTTATTTGTATCGCAGGTGCATTTGATAAGAGCAGTCTGAAAGATGGCGAAGGTACAACGGAAACAAAGAACTTGTAAACTGAGAGGAAACATGTTCAAGTTGACAACTACTGTCACAGCTGGACATAAATGTATATACCTAGGATGTCAATGAAGTAGTCTTGCCTCAGACCGCAAAGTGAACAGGTGATAATTGTACTTTTTAAAGCAGGCGCCATTTTGATACCTTACGGGGAAGGTGAAGCATGAGCTGAGCGTGGAGCACAAGGAGAAGGGATAACCCGGACCAGTTAGTCGTCCTCATAGTGGAGACGTCAAAGTTGTATAGACCTTCGGAACCTACATCTACTATAATAGTCAGGGCTTCTTTCGTTCTACGCGACTTCTGCTACTCTCGTCAAGGCCTGCCCTTCAATTCACGCTTGCTTCAAATAAGCTCAATTACTTACATGCCTTACATCAACACGAGTATTACTTTGGTTTGATAAACTTTGTAAATGTACTGATCTTGACAAACGTGATGAAATGCCAAGTAGATATCTAAGTTATAAGATGATTTTACTCAGTTAGTTCTATCACACCATCAATGGTCAAAGGCCTTGGATGACGGCAAACAGGTGAACGTTGTTTTCCTGAACTTTGCAAAGGCTTTTGACAGTGTGGCACATAATATCCTGCCGCAAAAGTGTGTAATTTTGGTATCTCCGGTGCGCTTTGAATGAGAACAGAGAGTTGTCATAGAAGGAATAAATTCTACATGGTGCGCTATTCCATCGGGCGTACCTTAGGGCCCCTGTTGGACCCTTTGTTCTTTGTAATTTTCATTGGTGATTTGCCTGAAGTAGTAATGCCCGGAAACTATGTGTCATTATATGCTGACGACTTTAAAACATACAGGATTACATTTCGTATTTCAGTCAGATCTCGACAATTTATATGCATGGAGTCAACAAAACCTCATGGAGTTTATAGTGAAGAAATGTAAACTAATGCACATCACTAAAAGGAAAACACCTATTCACTCTGACTTACACTTAAATAATAGGGACCTTAAGCAATGACGGCGACGACGGCAGTGAAAAGTCGCTAAAAAAATGAATTTGTCTTCTTTCAAACTTAATCGCGTCTATTTGGACCCGCTCAATATGTCAAATGCAGGTGACTTTTCCTGGAATTGAATTCTTAAGGATCTTATTTAAGTTCAAAGAGAGGAAGGAAAATTCGTCGTCGTATGTCCACGTCCTCAATAAAACGTCAGATTAGGAGGTTTCGCGTCGTAGTCGTGTAGTGGACGTCAACGACATGTACTAAAAAGCGTGATGCATGTGCAGAGCTGTTGTTTTGATCATTAAACCTATTGTTTTTTGAAGTTGTCGTCGTCTTCGTCGTCGTAGTAGTAGTTGCTTAAGCTCGCTAATAATATCCTGGAGCTAACATCTGAGTTCCGAGATCTTGGCTTGGTTACCAAGTGCAATCTGTCTTGGAGCACTTATATTGATAAAATATCGAATAAGTCCAACAAGATCCTAGGTCTAAGGGAACTGTAAAGGATTTCAAGATGTTTCCACATTGAGAACTCTGTATCTTGCCCTGGTCAGATCATCACAGCTAGAGTATTATTGCAGTGTTGTGTGGTCACCACACACCAGCTGACACACATCTAGAAATATTTCTAAGTTGGAGCGAATTCAGTGAGGGGCAACTAAGTTTATTTTGAAGACCATGATGATTACGAACAACGGAGAAAAATGCTCAATTTGTTGTCCTTAGAACAAAGGCGATTTTTATTTGACGTATTATTCCTGTATTATTATCCCTGAATGGCTATGTAGATATTGATCTATCTACATATGTACAGGTTTTTTCAGATTCTGATCGGCATCCTTTAAGGGGAAAAGATGAATGTACTCTTAAAATGAAGTTTACTAGAACTAATACATGTAAGTTAAGTTTTTTCAATAGGATCGTGGACATGTGGACACACTCTACCATTGCTTGTTCCTCGGGCAACAA